CATATTGGGCAGCGATTTGACCCTAATGGCGCCATGAGATGGCGCTGTTCGCGCTTCGCGCGGATCCGGGCTGCAGACTGTCGAGATGATGATCGAAATACTTCCCGTATCTTGACAGAAACAGCTGTGATTGGTTCCAATGGCTGAACGATCGTGTCATGTGCTGCCAGTAATCAGTTTATAATTTCATATTACATATCCCTCCGCTGATATATTTGTAATAGATATAGATGTAATATTGTCATAGCGTATCTTAACATACTCTAGTCATATAAGCTGGAATTAACATGTTATAACTGTGCTCGTTTTGCAATGATTTAATGCTGTAAAATAGTTTCCCATTAGTAAATAGATTCCGTGCGTATTCGTTACTACACTGGTGGTCTTCGGCCCAAGGATAGTGGCCATTTTGGGATTGCGAAGTGTAAACATAAAGTTTGCCGAGTCCGAGTTTATCGGAACTTTGGCTGAATATGATAAAAATAAACAGTTTTGGAAACACATAGCGATGGCTGATAGGAGGAAGCTTCAAGGTAGATATAATTTGTCCGCATGATCAATTGTTAGAAGGCATAATGGTCAGCGGACTAAATGTGTTGAATAACTGAAGCCTGATTTGAAGTCGCAACGTAAAATCGCTAGACACTAGGCCTACTACAAAATACAAAACTTGAAATAGTGAATAGAATAGTTGGTAGAATTTTAACAACGATAATAAAAACAGAGATCCCTATTTCCCCCTTGCCTTGTAGAACGTTTATTCAGTCATATGCAATCAATACATAAAATTATTTGGTATAATTCCGTTGCCAAAAACTTGATGCTAAATTTTGATACTGCAACGTACTACAACAGAAACAGAAAGTAATTAGTAACTACTCGCAATCTATAACTGTCGTGTAATGCTTGATCCTAGTTAAACAGCCGAAACTGCAATACCTAAATGACAAGGTGTTGCTACATTTGTCTTTTACGTCAGTTATCCCAAACAAATGACAATGTGCAGCTATGACATGATTATAAATTTCTCAGGTGTACAATTGGTTTTAATTTCCAAACCAAGCAAGGTGTACGTTACAAGTATAACACGTATTGAAGTAGATCAGTCAGCAAACTAGTCCTAGGCACATTTACCAATTAACTAATTCAATCTAATTCCTAGCAATCGGACATACCCTGACATCTCTTTATAAATACAACAGTAGAATAGAATCAGCTGCCAGCGAACATGGCAAGAGGCACGTCATTTGAGACCTGACAATAGCGGCAGAGAAGCTTTATCATCAGTTCTGCTAATGAATGCCTATCCCCCTTTCTTCTGGTGTATTATACCTAGTGATGGGAATCGGCTGGAATTTCATAATCGATTATCGGTTTCCCTTAACCGATCGATAATCGATTATAATCGGATAATCGGTTAATAATAGCATAGATTTAATTTAATCTTACTTTGTATATACAATTATACATAGCATTCAATATTATCATGTTTTATGATCATGTAGGCCTATTAACTCTGTGAAGGTTGCTGTATGTATATCAATGTCTGTTCCTATACAGTATTTAATCAATTTAAAAAGAAATGGTTTAAATGCCTTTATTAAAACATTAAAAGTTTTAAACAAACATGATCAAGACATGTTCTTTATTATAGTAAGTAAGTTGTTTGTGTTCTAATAGTGTAGGCTGTGTAGCCGAGTTAATGTCCTGCCAATGGAATATCCTCTCCAACATAATGTAACAAACAATACGGAGAGTAGAATCTCATCTACGGATAACATCTGTGGGACAGTGTCAAACCAAAACAAAGACACTGTCCAATTTGTCCATGTCTATAAGTACACTAGTACCGCTCTGCAATCAGACAGGACCTATGTTAACAATGATTCATGAAGGTGCATGTCCTCTGGACTACACACTGATGCACTTCTACTTCGCTACCAATACATGTCCATGTTGCGATTTAGTAATTTAAAAAAAAAAAAATTTGTATTTTCGATAATCGATTATTTGTTTTCATAATCGATTATCGAATTTGAGACTATAATCGATCGATTTTCGATTATAATCGATCATCGGGACATCACTAATTATACCGTAATGATCCTGCACCGTAATCGTTTAGATCATGTCGTTAGACATAGTTCTCTTGTTTTTCCTGTGAACGAATCTAACAAGTAAGCGATATGTACAGCATGTCAGGTTATAAGTGTTAATAACGATACCCCATTATATTAAAATGTTATCGGTCATGGCAAGAACACAGAAAACAATTAAATAATTACTTCTTGGTAATATATATTCTTTCAGTAGTTTATTGCAACCATTCTTGATTAAAGGCTTCTTGACACTATTAGCAAATCCATGAATCGGCTAACAGGGGGCCACCAACCATTAGTGAAGGGGTGGGGTTATGGCAAAGCAATTGTAAGCTTTCCAGATGGAGCCAGGCATGCATTTTAGTACTTCAGGTGGTAATTTCTGACACATAGCAATATATTTGGAGAACAATAAGTGAGGTGGAGGTTTGAATTGATCATAAATGTCTGCTTCACTTTTTTTACTATTCATCTTCTGGTATAAATTCTTGGATGGGTTGGTGCGGTGATACAGTAGGCAATATATTTGGGAAACAATAAGTGAGGTGGAGGTTTGAATTGCTCGTAAATGCCCGCTTCATGTTTTTTACTATTCATTTTCTGGTATTAGTTTGTGGATGCATTGGTGCGGTGAGCATGGGAGTCCTCATGTCCCTCTCATCGATTTTCCAGTGATCTACACTTCCAGTTTTTCAGCTACATCTGCACAAATTACAAAAATGTTGAAGACCTGTGCAGGCATGATAATATCACAATATAATTGTATCACAGTAATGGCCCCCTATAATAAGCCATATCCATATTTCTTATACCTAAAATAGTTGTGTACACCTGATACATTGATGATAAAATGCTGCAGTGTGAAATAAAGAATCCGGCTTGGATGTGTATTCCCAGTAAAAGGATGAAAGAGGCATTAAAGAAATCTAAAATCTTAAATGTTGTTCTGACTTAATAAGTAAATGCAGTATAGTACTAGAAAAATTTCAATGATTAAAGCAAATGTTTAAATAGTCAGAAAGGAAAGAGCTAAAAAGAGTTTTTATTCGTTTTCATAAAATTTTTATTGATTATGTAATGTTTATTATAGCGGAGATTGACCGATGTCTAAAGAAAGTCCAGGAAGGTGTTGAAACGTTTGAAGACATCTGGAAAAAGGTGAGTTTTATTGATTCCATACAATTTGATTACCGATTACAAGGTATGACTTGATAGTTAAGTTGTAATTGCAATGCCTGCCCATAGGCATATCCTTCATATTCCATGTGGGTCTTTCTTTACATCCAGGAACTCTCATATTTTTGATTCCATCTAATCTGATATAGTAATGAGTCAAACTAGTACGGTTACAAGTAGGTTATCAGATTCCCCCAAATGTATTTTCACATGTGATATATGAATCAGCCTACCTAGATTCAGTTACAAGGAAACAAAATTCTCGAAGTTCTTTCCATTAGCTAGTCAAGTACTCTATCAGATGCCTCCACATATTGTGACGGGTTAAGGAGTGCAACTCGCAGGACTATTTGCCACACGATTATATATATATATATTGATAGATAGATGGATAGATAGATAGATAATAGGTTTATTGCAAAACTAGTATTAAAAACGTTACAATTAAAATAAATTTTGCAAACACGATATCATCAGGCAGTATAAAACTGAAATTGATGATATTTACAATAATATGTCCCATGGTAAGACATAGATATCACTTAAAATATTGGTTCATAAAATTATATCACTACAACTAAAATCATCTTTAAGAATATATACAATATTTAAAATAACGTGATCCTTAGTCAAAAATAGTTACAATTAAAATGCAACACAACGATAGAATCAAACATATCACATAACCGAATGTTATTTTATTGATTCACATCTATTTGCAGGTGCAAACGGCTCCTAATGCAAACCAAAAGGAGAAGTATGAAGCTGACCTCAAGAAGGAAATCAAGAAGCTGCAGCGGCTGCGCGATCAGATCAAGAGCTGGTGCGCGTCGAACGACATCAAGGACAAGAGGTCGCTGGCAGAAGCTCGCAAGCTCATCGAGACGGTACCTACGCGGCTTAGCGTTTGTTCACACGAAAACTGGTTCTGGTGTGGTGTGGTGGTGGTGGTGGTGGTGGTGGTGGCGGCGGCGGCGGTAGCGGTAGTGGTTCTGGTGGTGGTGGGTCTGGTGTGGTGTGATTCTGGCGGTGGCGGTGGCGGTGGCGGTGGCGGTGGCGGTGGTGGGTCTGGTGTGGTGTGATTCTGGTGGTGGTGGTGGTGCTGGTGGTGGTGGTTCTGCGAGCCTATCGTGCCGGGGATAGTCGGGGTATATTGTGTGATGTGCTGCGGTGCCGTCCTGGGCCACTAGATCTGTCTTCGTGTTTATTCACGCGATAACGTCGTTTCTGTGAGCCCATCATACTGGGGATAGTTGGGTATATTGTGTGCGGTGCCGTCCTGGGCCACTACATGTGCGATATCTGGGGTACGGTGTACACCTGTACCTGCCTTATAATACATGACAGAAGACAGGCAGTTATTAATTATAGGTGTAATTGTTATATATGCGTGTGCTTGTTTATTTGTTTTCTTTAAGGTGCACAACCAACCCATTTTGTTTAACGCATGCAATAGTATGTAATGGTTGTTTTGATGCAGAATATAATGATGTGTCAGTATTGTGTAAGAATAGTAATGAATGTATAGCCTCTCTTAGCTGGTTGGTATGTAACGAAACCGGTTTCATTGTAAAGAAATGTTTTACAAATTTCTTGTTCTACAATCTTTTCATCATTTTTTTTGCAGCAAATGGAGAGGTTTAAGGTTGTTGAACGAGAGATTAAAACCAAGTCGTACTCGAAGGAAGGGCTAGGTGCTGTCAACAAGTTAGATCCGGCGACAAAAGAACGGGAAGAGATTCATAGTTGGCTATCAGTAAGTTTTGGATATCAATGTATAATCTCAAGGTGATCGCCTGTAAACAAACACTGTCTCTGTTAACGCTATCACTACGTATACATAACAGCCGCAAAGAAACGTAAGTAAATTCTAGGTCATCACAGTTTTAGTAGTTGGTAACTCTAGGCTCCACTGTCAGCAGTTTTTAGCTCAGCTGACGAAGTCAGATGCAGCTTGTAGAATCGCATGAATGTCCGTCCGTCCGTGTGTCACAGTTACGGCACAAATCTTAACGCGCTCGACTACGATCTTGATATTCGGGACGTCGGGGGGGGGGGGTCGCTAAAAAGGACTCGAGGTGTCGAATTTGAGGGGTCAAGGGGTCAAAGGTCGAGATGTGTCAATGGAGGCGGAATATTTCCCCCTTAACTTAAGGTATAGGAGGAAATACGGAAATGCCGGCACAAATCTCAACGGCTCTACCTACGCTCTTAATATTCGGTGTATAGAGTGTGATGGGAGCGAATCTCATCACCAATGCGAAATTTGGAGGTCAACGTCAAAGGGCGGTGGGGGAAAGGTTCAGATATCAGAACATTTTCTGAGGACATAGTCTGACGGACGAGTGCAAAACTTTTTTTTTTCAGCACTGACCTACCATTTTTATCACTTTATTGAAAGCGACCATGAAATCTAGCTTTTTCCGCTGACGTGCGAAGAGCAAGTGGTCTGATAACCTTTTCCCTTCAAAGGAGGGTTAAACATGAATTTGTTGACTGTTAACAAAAGACTGAACTGCTTTTGCTATTAGGGCCCCTCCACTTGCCCTAACCCCACCCTCCCCCACCACCAGCCACTACGCTCGCGCTCGACGCATATCCATGATAACGTTAATATAGCGAAGTCATTAAAGTTACACAGCTATATCTTTATTACTGTACTACCGGTATAGCAAAGCTTATCAACGCGGTGGTGGGAGGGCGCACTTGATTCGGTTGCCAGTGAGTTTATCAGAAGAATACCCGGCTACAGTACACGTCAGTTGAGCGCTGTCGCTCTGCGGCACTTGTTTGTCAGTGTTGTGGTGTGGCAGCTTTTATCACGAGGCTTTTATTTGTTTCAGAATTCCATCCAACAGCTCAACATACAAGTAGATCAGTTAGAGAGCGAGGTTGAAACGTTAGCGGCTGGTTCGAAAAAGAAGAAACTCGGTGTATGTACTACAGTTGACTTGTTATGCTGAAAATCCATATTACCAGTGAAAGTAGTGTCCGTGTGGCGCTACTAATTTTTCCGGCTCAAGTCTTTTTTTATCGCAAGATAGTGATTTGGCTTCTGTTTGTCTCGGTTCTCTTCTCCACATGTACAACTAGGAGTACTTGTGTCACTTGCATGAATTTTTTTTGTATATGCTCTTGTGAGTTCAAAAATCCCCATGTTCAATTCCGTATGTTTTCACAAGTGCTTTTCTAAGTTTCTACGTTTACTTCAATGAGTTTTTGCATTTGCTTTCATATCCTGGAGCTCCCGTGCTCATTTCTGTTGAGTTCCTGCATTTGAATGGGCGAATTGCCTCGTCTTTGTTTTTCTTATCTTCTCGTGTTCTCCTTCAGAATCACGATCGGTCGGACGAGTGTAGGAACACATTGGAGCGGCATCGATATCACATAGTCCAACTAGAAACAATCATGCGCATGCTGGACAATGATACGATAGATGTCGATCAGGTAGGTGCCTCTAACAATACTGGCACTGCACGTGCGTGCGTGCGCATGAATAGATGTGCACGGGTATTGCGAGGTAACCAAAACTTTGTAAACGAGTTTCAACACGTCTCTATGATGGTAGATGACAGATCTCTTCTGCCCTTCCATGGGTACAAGAGATCGTTTTACTCTAATTGACTAAAATCATGCATATAGATCAATATAGATAAAGATAAAAAAATCGTATCACAATACATATTGGTGTACCATTCCAATCGAGAAATACTGGAATGTCGTATGTCTTTTTGCAAAATTTTTTGGAATTTTTTTGGGAAGTATTTCACTACATTGTGTGTAGTACGTGGATAAATCTGTTCCCGTCTCATAATTGTGAACATGTTGCGCCGGCAGATCAAAAAGATTCAAGATGATGTGAACTACTATATCGAGTCTGGTCAGGACGACGACTTTGAGGAAAACGAATTTGTATACGAAGATTTGGATCTGGATGAAGTCCGTAAGTAGCAGAGTGTACGACTTCTGCTATATGGCTGCTGCTGTGCTGGTGGTGGTGGTGGTGGTGGTGGTGGTGGTGCTGCTGGTGCTGCTGGTGGTGGTGGTGGTGTTGTTGCTATTGCAGCTGTGCTGCTACTAACTAATTTTGGGAAAGGCAATGCAGTTCCACGCATATATCTTGTTTGTGGTGATTTCTGCCATAAAGGAACGTCTGCTTACTGACCGAGTTGCCTTTTAAATGCCGGAAATTTCGATGACTAGCTGTTCTCCTTTCTATTGTAGCATTTTAAATGTCTGCTATCTGTGCATGCAACTTCATACGAAGAAGTGCGCATGTCCGTGCGTGTGCGTGCGCGCGTCTACATGCCCGTGCGCACATCTGTATGTGTGCGCGTGTGTGTTTTAGGGGAGCACATGCACGTGTCTGTACGTGCGCGTGTTTGTACTTGTGCCCGTACTTGTGCCCGTACGTGTGTCTGTACGTGTTCACATGCGTGTTTCAGGGGAGCACATGCGGGTCGGCGTCTCGCTCGACGACGACACGACCAACATCTCGGGCGGCTCGCCGACGTCAGCTACGTTCAGCTCTCCGCCTCCGTCGCCTGGCCTCATCATCAACCATTCCCTGGTAGGTGCTGGGGGAAGGGCGCACGACGCACGTCACGCGGGGGCGGGCGGCGAGAGGGGGGGGGGGGTAGAACGGTGAGGCTTCGAGCGGAAATGAGCGCGCGTAGTTTTGTGCATTGGTGGCGTTCGAAACATGAGAAATTTTAGTTGTGGTTAAGGTGGGTGGTCGACTGCAAAAGCACAAGTGTGCGTGTGCATATGCATATATGTGTCTTCTTCAGTCTCTGTTCTGCATTCTCTATACTTGTACATCAGTGAGTGTGTGTGCATGTGTTTGTGCGTGTGTGCGTGCGTGTGAGTATGCATATGTGTGTATTCACTCTGTTCTGCATTCTGTATACTTGTACATCAGTGCGCGTGTGTGGGTGGTGGTTGCGAACATGCGTGTGCAGGCGGATGAATACAGGGACGTTAAAAACGGGTAGAAAATTTGTGCAGTTGTACAGCTGATAAGTGTTTCATTCAGGATAACTCAGATCTCGATGAAGAGAAGTCGAAGAGAAAATCTGTTGAGCGAGAGGTTAGTAATGCCTAGCCTCTCTGCCGATTGCTTTAGGTTGCCTGGTGAATGCGCCACATGCCCTGTGCCGTAGCTAATTGTAGGAGGTGGACTAGGTAATCTTTCAGTTTCACTAACCGGATATTATGCAGAGATGAGAATCTCCCGCGGATCCGCGGTTTCCCGCGTTTTAACACTTTCAAAAATTATCAATTTTCCAAATCGTTCAAATTCGTTGAGAAAACTGTAAGGACGGGTGTACTGCCACCCGTGGACAGTGAGAAACTGTCCCGTGGCTAGTGATGCTCTTTTACATCTGAGCTCGCCATCCCGCAGCCGACAAATGTACTATTTATTCACCCACTGTGCGGCAATGCGCGCGCAATGGCGGCGTTCATGAACAAGCTAGATTTCGAAATTTTTGTGCTTCAGAACGCGTATGCAAGCATCTAATTAAAAAAAATTTGGGGGGTCCCCGGACCCCCCAATAGTACTTGGCACCTGTGGTACGCAATATAGCTCTTTGTGCTATTCTACCAGTAAGCAGAAATATATCACACTGATTTCGTCCGTGGACGTTCTCATCTCTGATTATGTGGCTCTGCTTCCGCCCGATCACTGGCCACCGCAGAGAGAGAGTGAACATGATGGTACATGCAACATGCCACGTGTTGAGCCGAGTGCAACCGTACGACGGCAACCGATCTCGAGCCTTTCGCATTTATTTGCTTAGCGCGACCGCTTTTCGGGTGATGCCTGCCGACTAAATAAAACTGTGATGCGTGCGTCCAATTTTGCGATTGCTACTATTTTGCGCGCATGATGCCATTACGCTTTGCACGTGAACGTCAACATAACTTGGAGAATAATTCGCATGGGACAACGAGTTTCGTCTTTTCGCGAGTGTACAAGCAATTCATCTGATAAGTGAACGTTCCTTCCTTTTTCCTCGAGGTCGCAATACCAGTTACGATGTGATACTTGCCAGACACCTGATGACATTTCAGTTTCCTGCGCTCGTTTTTACTCCGGCCATCGTGCCGCGGTAGGTCCTATCTCATGAGATAACGATAAGAGTTTCCGTGGCCCATACACTGTGTCCACTGCTGACTGCCTGCGACGCGATAGTGCGGCAAACGTGGGGAGGGTGTCGCGTGGTGTCAAATCTCGTTTCTCGTTTTCCCTCTGCAGTTGTCTAGCAAGGGATCGCACCGGAGTGTAAGTGCCGTGCCTACCACGACTGTGATAGCGTCGCCGCCGCCCGCAGCCGGCTTCCCACTCATCCCTGTCAGTCCCAGTAAGCCAAACAGGTGAGTAAACGGTCGTGCCGTTGTCGCCTTCCCGGAAGGTTGGTGACGCGTCGTCGCGATCAAGTTTACGCGTAAGAAAAGCTTTACACGCTGTACGTGGCTGTCGTTATGTAACGCCTTGCTAGGAGTGACAGGACGTGGATGCCGAGTTGCTCGATACGAAATATAAAGAATATATATGAAATAACTCGATACCAAGGCTTTCACTCGGAGCGAGATAATAAAGCCGGGCGTAAAATTGAGTTTGCTCGAGAGTGAGGGGGTGGGGGCGTCGTTGACGGCCGCACGTTTCCCTCGGAACGATGGGGGACTGAACCGAACAGAAACCCCGGCGCCGGTCTAGTGTCGCCTCTTTGTGCCTTTTGCGTCTCGCTCACACGCGTCGTCGTCGTTTTTGTTTGTTGTCGCGCAGTATTGTGAACCACGTGGTGCCGTCGTCGCCGATCACGCCGTATTCCGTCGCTGTCGCTGCCCCGCAGCATCACAACAACCACTCAGGTAGGTTGCCTGCTGGAGTGAGTAGATGCTGCTCGCGTCATGTCGCATTGTCCGCGTTCTCTCCCATGCGCACCCTGCGTCGAGTCACGAATTTCACCCGCACGTTCCGCGCCGACGCGTGTTGAATGCGCACGGTCGTTCCTTGTGTAAATGTTCATCGGACGTGTACGTTTGGGGGTCACAGGTATGTCATGCATTTTCTGCCGTGGATGCTCTGTTTGCAAAGCCATAGTTGGTCTGGGATGAGGTTTTTTTATCTATTCTCTTTATCCGAGGGTGTTCTATTTAGCATTGTGAACATTCGTGTTGGTTATCATGCGTGAGCAAGATCGACTTTGCAAGTGGTTTATGGGTGATTGGTTTTGTGCACTAGAAAACAAGTCCAGCCAGCAACATCAGCAGCAGCAACAGCATCAGCAGCAACAACAGAAACAGCAGCAGCAGCAGCAGCAGAATGGTCCTGCCATTACTTCACCACCTGTAACATCCACCGTAACACACACGTCTATACTGCTGCACTCCGTCGTGTCGGGGGCGTCTAACGGTGTCGCCACGGTAACAACTAGCAAAGCTGCGGTTGCTGAACCGGCAGCGACTAGTCCAGACCCTGTGAAGAACGGCCATGTTGCTGCAGACGTCAAGGTGAGTGACGGCATACAAGAAAGTCCTGAAAGAAAAATGCAAATATAAACTGAGAAGCCATTTTATTTTATCAGAAAATTAAATTGTGTGAGTTACGAAAAACAAGGACTGTATTTAAGGGATGTGAAATGATTTGTCTCGACGCGTCGACTCTTTGAAAATCGAGGTCTGGCTTCAATATGCAGCGGGTGGAAGGTGGCAGTTATATTCGAGGACATGGGTCGAGCAACTCGGCTAGCTTCGACGTTAACTTCTTTTGTGACTGAGATCGACTGCAACAACAACAACAACAGCGATGATAATGACTTACTTAATTTACTACGAATAATACGAATAACGATTGTAATTAAATAATTAGCGACTTAACGACCGTTAACCATCATGCTGCAGAAGGAGAAAGCCGCTAGCGTGGTCGGCTCGCTCAAGGCTATGGCCGAGCTGGCGCTCGGCAGCAGTGGAGCGCCCTCTATGACGATACCGGCCAGCGGTCAGTCATCGGTGAGCGCGGCGGCGGTCAGTCAGGTGGCGAGCGTGGCGGGGGCGGCAGCGAGCCTGGCCACGAGCCTCGTCACCAGCTTCCCTGCGCGATCCGACTTCACCGCCGTAGCAACGAGCATCCTCGACGACAGGAAGAGTACGTTTCATTCCCATGGCAACCAGGGGGATGTCAAAAGCGGGGGAGAATAAGAAGAGTGCATATTATCCTACAAATCATCGGGGGTTATTGAAACAAGGCCGAGTGTGGAGGCAAAACTTTATTTCTGTTGTCTCTTAGTTACGCAATCTATGTCCCCCGCTTCGCGTCAATATGTGGCTTAATCAATATGACGTCTACGTCAATGTGATCGTGTTGCACAATAATTGATTGATAATTGATTATTGCGTTGTGCAGTGCTCGACACCAGTATATCTGCGCTGCTGCCGACGTCGTCGCTGCTGGGTAGTTACAGTAGTAGCGCATACGGCCTTGGTGCCTTCACGACGACCGTGTCGCTGTCAACGTCGCAGTCCAGCGTAGTGGAGCAGGCAATGACCACCGTGCAAATACCACCTCTACTCGGCGTCGCTCCTCTGGGTATGGTGAAGTGGTTGATTCGTTTCATGAGTAATTTTTGCTTTACGGTAGAAGCGTAGTGGAACAGGCAGCAACCACCGTGCAAATACCACCTCTACGAAAAGCGTCGCGCCTCTGGGTACGCGAGATGGTTGATTCGTTTCAGGCGTAATTTGACATTATGGTAAACCTAAATATATTAACATTTTGGCAACAGTTCCGACAACGGCTTGACGTAAACAGCTAGTTTGGTTGATCAAATGTCAGATTAATATATGTTGATTATTCATCAAATGAAATTTTTCTTAATGTTATTGTGAAGTCTAATGTACTCATTCCAAAAAATGTTGTTTTGTATGTGAAGAAGAATCGAAGATTGTTTTGTTGTTTTCGATAATCTTTCCATGAGAATAAGCGAAGCTGTCTCTTATATTTAGTGTAGAGGGTTTACAGTGGTCGAAATAAGGAAAAAACTTAGATATTTTTGCTTGTCCTGCAAAATTTTTGCTTGTCCTGATTAATAACATAGAAATATAGTAAATGTGTAATACATTTAATCAAATTAAATTTTAGACCCAATATCTTACTTTATAATTTTACTACAGTTCACTAACAGTTCAATTTCGTCGGGTTGTATCTAAAATACGAATCGAAAATACGAAACTAATACGGGCGGCCTGCGATGGTAGAAAATGATGGAAAATTTCTGTAAAAAGTTGCTCTAAAAAGCTACTTGTCCAGCGGACAAGCTACTGGACAGGTCTACTTGTCCTCCGTGGAAATGGATAAGTGAGGACAAACGGATAGCCCTTATTTCGAACACTGGTTTAGGGTTGTAGATCTCGTAGAGAACTCTGTGTATATGTTTGCAGGGCACGTGCAGTTGAACAAGCAGAAACTGTATGAACAACGGAGCCTGGAGTACGTCACACGCCACCTTCCACATCCATCCGACTCTGAGAGACTCAGGTAACCAGATGTGCAAGGTTTAGTGAGTGCTACGCTAATGATCATGAGTACTTCACAAAAAGTCTGTTGGTGATTCTGCGAAAGTCACTTTAGTGATTGAACAACAGCAACCCCAGCCCAAACTTCAGCGAGTTGTTCAACAATGTCGTTATTGAACGATTTAAAGAACTGCTACATTTAATAACCGTAGGATTATGACTCGATAACATGGTTGAAGAATATCCATGAGTGTTTGATTAATTTGAGGTGAATATTATGTAAAAAAAAAAAAACCAATTCAACAAGGCCCGAATGTAATCCACACATACTTATTTTTTTAAAGCCGACTGGCTTGATGCCTAGCGGTACTAACTAGATCATCTTTTTTGAGTCATGGACCCCTTTGCGAATCTGGTGAAAGCTACAGACCCCTCCCCAGAAAAATTCACATAAGCATTTCAATAGCATAGCCATTTCAACCTACCTTAAGCCTGCCGCACACGGTGTGTTTTGTGCTGCGCCATCGGCCACGCGTGGCTGATGGCGCAGCACAAAACACACCGTGTGCGCGTGCAAACAGCGATTTCTTGCGTGTGGAAAATATCACACGTGTTTGATATTTTCTTCCACGTGTGGCAGATTCCACAGCGTGTGCGGTGTGCCTGTGTCAAGTTCCACACCGGCTCTATGTAACCGACCAATAGCAGCAGGTCAAGCGAGTCACGTGATCTTAACTTGCGGTTGCAGCGCGGTTGCACTGCGGTACACGCACGTACAGTCAGATACACGCACGTACACGCGGGTGCACGCGGATACACGCACGTACACGCACGTACACGCGGGTACACGCGGATACACGCACGTACACGCACGTACACGCACGTACACGCGGGTACACGCGGATACACGCACGTACACGCACGTACACGCGGGTACACGCGGATACACGCACGTACACGCGGGTACACGCACGTGTACTGTTGCGTTGTATCTCCTGTACCCGCGGTGTACGTGCGTTGTACCGCCGTGTACGCTGTGTGTATCCGCTGTTTTGTACCTTGGTGTACGTGCTGTGTATCTGCGTGTACGCTGATGTACCCGCGTGTACGTGCGTTATCTCCGTGTACCCGCGTGTACGTTGTGTGCGGTGTACCCGCTGTACCCGCGTGTACGTGCGTGTATCCGCGTGTATCCGCGTGTACGTGCGTGTACGTGCGTGTATCCGCGTGTACCCGCGTGTACGTGCGTGTACGTGCGTGTACGTGCGTGTACCCGCGTGTACCCGCGTGTACGTGCGTGTATCTGTGTGTACGTGCGTGTATCTGCGTGTACGTGCGTGTACCCGCGTGTACCCGCGTGTACGTGCGTGTACGTGCGTTTACCTGCGTGTACGTGCGTGTACCCGCGTGTACGTGCGTGTACCCGCGTGCACGTGCGTGTACCCGCGTGTACGTGCGTATACCCGCGTGTACGTGCGTGTATCTGCCTGTACGTGCGTGTACCCCAGTGCAACCGCGCTGCAACCGCAAGTTAAGATCACGTGACTCGCTTGACCTGCTGCTATTGGTCGGTTACATAGAGCCGGTGTGGAACTTGACACAGGCACACCGCACACGGTGTGGAATCTGCCACACGTGGAAGAAAATATCAAACACGTGTGATATTTTCCACACGCAAGAAATCGCTGTGTTTGCACGCGCACACGGTGTGTTTTGTGCTGCGCCATCAGCCACGCGTGGCCGATGGCGCAGCACAAAACACACCGTGTGCGGCAGGCTTTACAGATCTACTAGTCTTCAGTTAGCAAGAATAAGTACAATACAGACTAAGGCGTCCGGGCGGTACTAACTAGATTTTTACAGACAACCATACATGTTTTACAGGCAGTATCTTCCACGTAATCCGTGTGTTACGCCTACCTGGTACCCACAGGTGCCACCACCAAATCATAACAACGTAGATTTCTTCCAGAGGCTCTCTACTGAATCGCTGTTCTTTATATTCTACTATCTAGAGGTGAGACAACTGGTGGCATGTGTATTTTTTTCCCCGTTATGTATACTGTGTAAATTGTTGTCATTGTATCAATATATTGCACAAACGTGTCAATGCTTTGATGTTATCTTGATTATATTCTATAACGTGCACTAGATTCTCATATAGAAAATATGCATCATGATGTGTATAGATAGTAATTTCTCTATTGCGTGCTATATTTTTGCGACTCATTGATTTGTTGGCTGTCATTCAGGGCACGAAAGCTCAGTATTTGGCAGCAAAGGCATTGAAGAAACAGTCGTGGAGGTTTCACACCCGGTACATGATGTGGTTTCAACGTCATGAAGAGCCAAAGGTCATCACTGACGAATACGAACAGGTGTGTTACATGCTTGTGCGACACTGCTGTTATGACTATGTTGACATAGCGTGGAATAGAATTAGAGTGATATAGAAAGATAGGAGGAGGATACGGAGCCAGTGATAGAGAGAATTGGGGTAGGTGAGTGTGAGCAACGTAGAAAGGGGGTGAGAAAACGAGTAGGGGAGGTAGCGAGAGAGAGAGAGCGTGCGAGTGAGAAGGGGTGGGGTAGAGAGGGAAAGGATTGTATGAGACAGAAAGACAGGTGACAGAACGTGTTTTCATTAGTGTTTTTATGAGTTTTCACGTGACATTTCTCAGTGCCGCAATTGCAACTCTCTTAAGCAACCTTATACACCATGACTTTCCTGTTGCAGGGCACGTACATCTACTTTGACTATGAAAAATGGGGCCAACGGAAGAAGGACGCATTCACCTTTGAGTATCGATATCTGGAAGACCGCGATCTAAACTGAACTTTGACCTGTCATGACCGCGTGACCTATCAAACAAAAAGAGTGACAGACAGGCGGCACGTGCTTCGGTCTACGGTTAACGGTCCGCATCGGGCGGTAGCTTTAACGTAGTGCAACACATCAACACGATTAGGCATTAGGATTCGATCCCGGCGAGTCACGTTGTTGCGGGTTTACCCCCTAGGTCGGGGTGTGGCCAGTACAGACCCCGCGGCCCGTCACCACAGCTCTCCGCTAGCTCACTCCTCGCTTCGACGTCTGCTGCAATCCCTGCAGTCAAGGGGGGACCTCAAACTCCGAAACCTATCGGTGTTATCTTACGATGCATTGCCATCGACAATGAGGCGAGCGACAGGCCTGTCGGCTTTAGCGTCTGTTCGGTGGCCTCGAGTTGCTTTAGTGAGTGTGAGCAGGCAGGGACGCAGGCTTCCCTGTTCCGAAATCATGACGACATCCAGGTGGTTAGATTTTAAACGCGACAAAGCCCGATTTTGACGTGTGTGTGGGTAAAAAAATCACTGTTAGTAGCGGCGGAGGGCTCTTCCTCGTGGGTTAGGTTTGTAGACTTCCATCAATAATTTTTTCGCTTTGCAAGTAGTTTTGTAATTATGTAGAGGGTTTTTAGGTTACTTTAGCTTGAACTGGCGTCTTTGCGACATGAAAGGCAAGAAACTCGAGTCAGAGCTGTATCATGTTTAGACTGTCACTGAACGTGGTCGAGCACGGAGTTGGATCAGTGTACAGTTTATTAAATCTGAGGGACTGTCGACAGTCTAGGATGTATCATTTTCACACAAAATGTAAAAAACTAAAGTTTTTCATTCTTGTTATATACGTACAGTTCTGGTGATATTTTTGTACAGCAGATAGCTAGCTCTGCAGGTACGCGTTTGTCGCTCCACCTGGCCACACGAGGGCAGCAGTGTCACATTGATGTTGCTGTTCCTACGCGGCATGTAAATAAGGAACAATGACGAGTATCTGCAGTGTTCATTGTCTGATATGCTGAAATATAAAAAGGCAAAATATTTGTCTGTGCAAAAAAAGTACACGTTTTTTGTATTAATCTTGTCGTCTTTACTCTCGTTGAGAATTTACATCTCTTTAATTGCTTCTTGCTGTAGATGAAGCTAGCAACGAATTTTAGTTATCAGTTCCTCTAGCAAACAAAATATATGAAATATCCGAACTATGATCTGTTCACCTACTTCCACACAACTAACGTTTTTGACGAAACTCAATGGAAAGGGATATGTGATATAAATGTTAGATTTTAAGGCTAAACGGGAAGAAAATCTATATGATTAAAATGAGTAGGTATAAAATATACCTTCTTTTGGCCTTGGGATAAACTCCCATCCATCTAATTAATCTATCATAATTTTTTGGCATGAAGTATTATTAGCTATAAATGCCTGTTTTTTTTTAAACCTAGAAGATTTATACAAATCCGATATTGATTGCATAGATGACTACTTGCCAAATAAAATACTAATTTATTTATAGCCATAATTTATATTCTCAACACTATACGCTCACTCCAGCTATACATACTAGAGAGGTTTGTGTGTATTCGTCGTGTATACGTACGCATACAGCGAGCGTGTACGTTCGTGTACATGTGCCTGCACGTCCGCACGTACTGCACGCGCGCTCGCGTGTGCGTGCGTGCGTACGTGTTTCCGTGTATGTATCTATGTATGTATACGTGCCTTCATTGTTCGCACCAGCTTTTTGTTTGGTTGCCGCCCAGTAGGGAGCGTGGGAATGGTGTATACGAGGCGCATTGATATCTAGGTACGCCAATGTTAACCGGTCCAGTAATATATTACATTACAAATTCCACTAACAGTAATGCACAATAAGTTGTGATTATTGAGCTTATATTGTATTTCAGCATTTTCTGCGCATTTCTCGCTGATGAAACTGCTAACTTTAATAGATTTACTGTGTCCTAGCGAGTTTTGCGACGAGAAATAGGTCGCGGCAGGATACGGTGTTGTGTGCCACTTATCGTAGAAAGCGTAACATTTACTGTTTGCTTGGAACTGTTTCGGGCGGTGGTTTGAAAGTGAGTGTCTGTGGATACCTGTGTGAAAGCGGGTACTGGAAGCCTTCTAACCGTTTCACCTGGCATACCGACAACTGCTAAAGAGGTTAGTAGCTAATTTTAAGCACATTTCTCGTGAAGTGGTACATTTTAACGTAGTCGCTGTGTCTGCACAGGAGTCTGCATGGGGAGTGGATTGGGGACGTCGTTACTGCAGTTGAGTTATAAGACGTGAAGTGGTGCGTGGTCTTGACAGTATTTGTTACCTGTGCTCTCTATCAGTATCAATAGTCTGGCCAGGCTGAGAAACACGTAAATACACACGTCTCTCATTACGTGACCGTTTGTTGGGGCTACTTATCACATAAGTTAGATCCTAACAAGGTAGACTGTCACCGGATGGTTCGTTTGGCTACTTTACTCTTTAACTTATAATAGTGGTTTCGCCTAGTTTTTAGGTGACTAGCTGGGTAAGCATTGTTTTGATACCGTAACCGTTCGGGTACCAGTGTACCACGTCCTTAGAAAATCGAAGACCATGCCCGGCTGCCGGGCATATAGCCACAGCGAAAATGTATTGCTAAGCCACGCTTTTTTGTGTTTTCATCCTCGATAATTTTCTAGCTGCATTTTTTTGTTTATTTATGCTGTTATCAATGTAATGTATGCTTTAGTAATTATCGAAATAAATAAATCAAAAAAAAAAATGCACCTCAGCACTTTGAACAACGTTTCATATCAGCAACAGAGATAGTGACCAGGTCGTGTGACGTGGGTACTGAGTGAGAGATGATAATATTGGATATCGAAGTCTAGTCTAGAGCATTTACGTGTAAAGTTGACCATATCTGTACAATGACAAAAAGGACACGGAAACACGGCACCGCGCCCGCTGTATTCCTTACTGCACACTGTGTGCAGCTGTGCAAACTCTAGCCGTATAAAAATGCGCCGTTATGCTTACATTTAGTCTTGTTGTTGCAGGTTCCATCATGTCAGGAATACTGAAATTTGTTCGGTCGCGGACCCTTCCCCATGTTCCTGGTCTTCCCCACCATGATAATGAAGCTAGGCAAAAGCTACAGAAGGAGCTGTTTGACTTTAAAAAGGTTTGTTAATGAATGAGGTGCCTAAACGTCTTCGTTAACTTCGTATTCCAATTGCGTTATAACTAGTAATGATATACGTAGTGAATAGACGCTCTTTCAGTGATTAATAACTATAGAAAATGCCAGGGCCATTGCTAATGCATTTAGGATACCTCAAGTGTGAATGCAAAATTGACTATTGTTCAACTATTTAGTGCTTGGCCAGTGTCCATTATATACCAATTTCATCCAATCAGCATGCCAGTGCTCACTCTTTACATAGGCATTGAAGCGTGTAGGCGGACAAGATAAGGAGCTAATGTTCATTGTGTTTTCACTTGGGTCAGCAAGGCTGAGTCTCTCTGTGTCTCTGAAGTGGACATTGCTAGTTGTGAACTGTGTATTTTAGTGGGTGCTTTTGTGTGCATGCGCTGCGTGTGAAATGCATTGGACACAGTCACACTGACAGTGGATTTAGCAAGGGTTTTGATCGCATTTAACAGGGCTGTGTGAACGCCAGCTGGAAAAAGCACCGCCAGACATTTTGTAACTGATCCGGGCTGCCAACGGATAACATCCCCACCAAAAATCATTATTGGCGATCAAAAAATCTCATGTCTGAGTTTGGTTAAATTCGTGTCGGCCCTAAATTTTGGTTTGCGTTTTGCCGTTATTGCTTTGGCCCCTACCCTTATGTACTCTTGCACCTGTGTATAAACGGTTTTATTGTGATTCATAGGTAATTGCTTCAGCTTCTCCATGTACACCAAAAAGCACCAACAAATTCAAAGTCTATATTAGATAAGTAGAGGGGACACATAACCTCTGCACCCTTCGGTGGTTGAGTCACGCAGTCATATCTTCCTTTATGTGTGTACAGTACGCTTGTGCTGGTGCAATGTCGCTATGTGTCCCTGTTCAGGTGTAGAAGTATTCACTCGTGATATCTTGCCATCTTGGTGAAAATGATAAGACACGTCTAGACCGCAATGACCTATATTTATTACGTACTAAGTTTGCGTGGGTAAGAAGTGAAAACAAGAAGGGAAACGAGCCCGTATTTATTCTGGACTGTATACGCTCGGAAATATGGTCACTTTTGGCATTAGTGAAAGAGTAGACATACACGAAACGTCCCTCGAAACATGCGAAAAACACGTAGCGTATCTTAAAAACACACGGGGCCGCATCGAAACACAGTAAAGACACACGGATCGGGATTAAAACGGATGTAAAGTTAACAACACTGCCTCAAAACGTACGAAATAAATTAAAAAACATAATGGCATGTGACCATTCGAATCGACCCCCCCCCCGCACCGAAACACATGAATCCACCTCAAGACACATGTTACCATCCAAATGAAGCTCACGAAATGGCTTCACAATGATGTGAAACAACCTTGAAATCCGGTAGCTTGGGCGACTGCAGGCGACAAGCAACGACAGAGTGGGTGGGGGGAGGGGAGGATAGGGGGAGGGTGAAGAGGTTGGCTGAGTGTGCGCTGAGGCGGCGAGAAAGCAGTGGCTGGCTGGCGAGACAGGACTATTGATTTTCAAGCGAGAAGCCAGCCAGCACGCGCGCTCTCTCTCTCGTGCTCTCGCTCGCTACGTGGCTGTAGTGATGCATGACTTAAGCTGTAATTAGACGGTGTATGGTACGGCTGCTGACGGACCGACTCACTGTCTCCTGTATTGTAGCACCGCCACACACCGCGCACGCATGCACGCACGCATCGCTGCCACAACAACAGTTCGAGCGAGCAAGGTTTCCGAAGTAGCTAGTCAGCACGCAGCATCACGCGGGATGCGGATAGTAGCAGTAGTGAGATTGTATGGGATGCTGCATCGTAGGTAGACCGCGGCTAGAAAATGATGAGTGTCTGGTGATAGTAACGCAATGCTGGGAGGGGGGGGGGTCCCACAAATACGGCGAGAAATTAATATGAATTAAAATCACGACTTATGGTTTACGGATAAGAAAGGATAAGGAAGAGGGCACATGACAATGATGAGGTACCGCATGTAGGAGGGAAAATGGTAGAAATATAGTGCGACGACCCCCTACCAAGACATTAGACAAGAAACAAGCGAATCCTGGCGAAAGTTGTTTGCGAAATATAGTTAAGTAGTAACTGCCGCATGTAGGGGTAGAAATGTAGTGCGACCCTCTAGTAAGACAAGCGAAAAATGGCGAAAGTAGTGTGCAAAATATAGTTGAGTTGTAGGCTAACGCTCGATTAGGAGTGTTCCCAACTTTGATATCATTAATGATTAATGATGAATGATTGATAATCTTAACCCAAACTCTAACCTAAATGACATTAAACCACAAACTAATATATGACCATGACCACATATATATATATATATATGTTATGTTATGTTGTTGTTGTTGTTGTTATGTTTTATGTTATTGTTGTTTGAGTTGGGAACACTCCTAATGGAGTATCACCCGAGTTGTAAGTGCCCGCCTAACAGACAACCTGCGTCACAGCTTATCGTGTGTGAATGGTAAGAGATAGCATGCGTCTGCCCACTCGGATCACTAATTCAGTCGTTATTCTGCCACTTGAAAATGCAGCGCGTCCGAGAGTCAGTCGACAGAAGAGCTACTGAGAAACTTCCTTGGCAGCTGCATGTGTTTGCTCACAAGGCATGCAATTATTTAATGAATAACTGACCGTGCGTGTGTGCGTGCCTGCCTAGCGAAGTCATCAAGGTTCCGAAAACGCCGAGTACAAATTGATTGCATCATGTCTCCTTTTAGTACGAACACGGAATTCAAGTGTGCGCGTTTGTCTGTCCGTCAAAGGGTGTGTGCGTGCCTGAGGGCAAGATATACACAGACAGAGAGAGAGAGAGAGAGAGAGAGAGAGAGAGAGAGAGAGAGAGAGAGAGAGAGAG